AGAAATATCCACGAGACTATACGGAGAACATGAAAACTCCAAATATACAGGCGTCAGGGTCAGGATCGAACCCACGACCTCCTGTATACCAGGCGCGGTAGTTAACATTCCGTCACCATGGCATTAACACTGTCTGTAACCGCATCACCCTAAATATGCACGATCACATTGAAGCTTGGCAACTAAGCAAGGATGCGACCGATTGATGCTTGAACGGGTGACCACCAGGGTTTGCCAGGTGTTGTAGGCCTGATGGTTTGTGTGACCAAGAGATGGCAATGCTAAGTATCAAGCCCCTCGTGTGCGTAGGAGGGCTTTCTCCAGATACAACCACGTACCAAATTAAACACTCATTCATGGGATTGACCAAACATCCCAATGTAGCAGCACTCAGAGGTGTGAGGAATCACAAACAAGGGGGAAAGTCAGAAGCCACGTGGTCTGCCAGTGCCAAATTCCCCCCTCCCCACCCCCGAAGCTCTGCGGTCCTCCATATATTAAGTTGTTATTGGCCATTTAATCGGTGTTTACGTGTGGAATGAAACTCCAGCATCCGGAAAAAAACCCCACGCATGCGAGAAGGAGCAACGCTCTGAGACATACAGATGGAACAGGCGGAGTCCACATTTTGCTGTATTCGTCTTCTGCTGGCAAGCCAGGGTATGTGGCACATCCTCGCCACCCAAGGGAAGGGAGTTTCACAACATTTGTGCGGTGATCCACTAACCCTCGCTGCCGCGGCAGTGCTGGATTACGGGCAACGCGCATATCCACCGCAGCATTCCTGGATAATTAATTGGCATATATAACAGAAAACATATACGCACACACACCACACTAGTAGGCCCAGATCTCTGTGGCCCCTCTTACGAGCACTGCACTGCACTATTGTAGCTTATAAGGCGGTGGTAATGACGAAGGTGGCGAGAGGCTTTGGGGAAGGGTTTGTTTGCGCAAGCCACAATATGAGCTTTCAAGTTAAGTGCACAGAGATCGTCACAAGATCCTTAGCTCCAAGTTACCAGAAACGTGCGTAAGCAGCTGCCAAATATTATTAAGAAAGTTGAGAATGCACGTGCGTGAACATTCCTCCACACTCTCTCTCACACACACACACAAAGACAAAGATCCCCCTTTATATACTGCTAAGCTAAATACGTACCGCTCGCGAGCACCTATCAAGGCACGTGTGGAAGTGGGTGGGGAGCGGTAGTGTAGTGGTTAGCGCGCTGCGCTATGAACTTAGCGACCCGGGTTCGATTCCCGCTCACGGCCACCACCAGTGACGATTATCTGAACCGGTCCTGGGCCTCCCCTAGGTCGACTCAGCCTCAAATGAGTACCTGGTGCGGTGTATAAAAACATTGCCACTGGGGAGACTAAGGCGGTCGTGCGTGGTGCTGGCCACCCATACCCTCGTGTACCGTTCCGGCCTTCATAGGTGCTGCTCGCTATACAGCACTTGCCCCTACAGTCTGTTAAGGCTATACGGGGGATCTTTATCTTTGTGTGTAAGTGGAGACTCGTAGAGGTGTGAGGAGTTCCATTCTCCCTAATGGTGATTCGATGAATTGTTGTGAATAAGGATCGGGATTTTCAAAAATAGATTATAATTATTATTTTAACTGCTGCTGTGAACGGAGATGATCCCACGATTTGCAGGCGTGACGTGAACCAATTACGTACAACATAAATCCAGTAATTCAAAATCATCCATTCTTACAAATTATTTGGTATGTATCTTGAATTTCATTCGCACATTATGTCGCCAACCGCGTTAAGCGGTAGTGCATGGGATGCTACTGCTGCGTTGGCAGTGGTACGTAAGCACAATTGAAAATCAAACTCAACACATTTGTCAATCACGGCAGTGTTATTGACATTGGCCAATGGCCCAATGGCCCTTATTCATAACAAACATGTCCTATGAAGAAGGGGCATTGCCCGAAGTGTCATATACACAATGTAAAGCATATACTCAATGTAATAGATATACTAGATCTATCATAAGCCTAAGAAATGTATAGTTAATCCCGATTATTTTGGCTAGAAACTTACACCGCGCATGAACCCGGATTTCTCTTCTCTAAGTCAACGAACGCTTGACCCATTTGATTCTGAGTCGACCTAGGTGAGACCCACCCAGGGACGGTCCTGATAGAGACCATCAGCAATCAAACCCAAGATAATGATGCGGTGTGAGAGCTAATTACCACCACCACCATCATCATCATCGTCGTTATCGTTATCTTCCACTATCATCCACTGTTGGATGAAACCCTCCAGAGACCGTCGCAATCTCTCACAATCCCACGATGCAACAATCCATCCAGTTCCTGCGTACGAGCTGATTTATTTGCTCCTTCATCAGGGCCGTACGTCCTCGCGTGAGAGTTACTTTGGATGCCACCACCACCACAACCACCGCACATAAAACCCCCAACTGCCAAATACACAAACACAATTTGAACAGACGCTGACTGTTAAAAGGCCCTTCCACCAAACAGTGCAAGACGCAGGCTTAACAAGCACACCTCTGTGCACGTATTTGACTAAACTTTAGCTTACATACGTGGCCTGATTTATACACTGTATATAAAAAAATGGGTTCCGTGTGCCCCATGCTCTCCCTCTTGCCTATAATAATATCCCAACCATCATCAAACACACACACACACCTAGGCAATTGTGCATGTGGCTATGGTTCACTGATGAGTGCTAAAACAAATGAAGCCAATCCGAACCTCTGGTTGCAAAATTATCAATTGGAAAAAATACGTTTTACAAGGAATGTCCATTGATATATTTCATTCAGTGACTAAAATGAAATAAAAATAAAATTGCTCATGCTCATACTGTGGCATACAATTCTGTTACAAGCACCTACAGTATGAAGGCAGGCATGACACATGAGGCACCACACACACCCTGCCGTCTTTGTCTCCCGGGTGCTGATATATGTGATCACAATCCATTGGATATTAATTCAAGCCTGAATCGACCTAAGGCAGGCATACCCAAATTGAGATACCAATTGGTCACTGACGTTGTACTCCACGACCAGAAGCGAAACGTGGGTCTCCAGGATTGTACTGCACTATACTAATCATTTCACAATCCTTTAAAATCAGCTTCACCTTTTATTAATCAATATCTGTACTACCTTATGCAAACTTACAAACACATACCACAGTACACACCAAGGCCATAATTATCATATATATTGGGGGGGACACACCCCCCAATATTAAAATTTGCTCAAAATGTCCCCCCCCCCCAATATATTGCTATAAAAAAAGAATTGCTATGCTATGTAAATAAAAACAACAATTTGCTATACCTTGGCCACAATATCTGGAATTGTCTTCATATAAATCAATGCATAGATTTCTGTTTATATGATTGTGGTTATGGTTGTACTTTATTAATCCCTAATCTCTGCCATTACATACAATGAAACAAGAAATGGTAAAAAAGTAAAAACAGCAATGTAATACAATACACTATTAGACATTATTGTAAAAAATAAATAAAAAGTCCATCCCATGTGTTGGTGATTTTTTAAATATTTTAGGCAGGAAATTAGTTTTCAAATTTAGATATTTTTCTGGGTTGGGACCCCTAGACACCCTGGAAGATTTGGTCCCCCCCAATGTTGACTCCATGGCTACGGCCTTGGTACACACATGCATATAACTATACACAACAATGGCCATCCACCACTCAGTGACGATGACTGCATTCTGGCACTTGTGTCAGGCTATGTGCACGTTCAGGCCATCACGTGAGGTGTGGAAGGCTCGCTGCTGCCAGCAGGTCAGGGGACATGCCCAGGTATCAAGGGTTGACTGAGATGATCGTCACTGCCCTCCCCACTGTGCCAACTTGCTGCGTTCCAATACGATACAGAATATACGGTCCTGATCCTGCTGACGAGACTCAGAAAGTTAAAACGTATCTAAATTTGTATGTAGACAAATAATAATACACATTTAATGAGAAAGGGTTTTTGTATTTGTACTTCATATTCCACGCTTTATTGAACCTGGCGAATACCCCCCAACATTAATTATCTTTACAATGGAGATTGGGGGGAACAAATGTTGGATAGAGACATTAATTGATATTCGGCTATAATTAAATTGCATGTGATTGATTGTTAATCTGCACAAGTGATGTAATAATGCAACCACAAAAGGAGAATACAGATTCCAACACTCACAGTGATGGATGAGTCATTTTCCCATTCCAAGCACCACCATCATAATCATCAACATCTCAACCACCTCTACAACTTCCACCAATTAAACTAACTCCACCATCACTAATACTTCCAAGTTAAACATCACCTAGGTCCCATCACATCCAGACCATCAGACATTCAGTACCATCAACCAGATGATGACTCCAGTGGTCAAGTCAGGTGCTCAATCTTTGCGGTTTTTGTGCAGATATGGGTCCCAAAGTTATTCTTATTTGTCCTCGGAACTGGAATATACCGTGAAAAATTATAAGGGGTTTGTTTGTGCAGTCATTGGTGACCGGGATGAAAACAATAACACTTCACACTCAGGAAACCGCTTCAATCTTGGTTGGCTGGACCTGGAATAAAACTGTCCTCTCAATCAACAGTGCCGGCTCAGTGCACCTGACACGAACAGCATCAGCCTCCTGATTCGTAGTGTAGCGTGGTCGCCGTGGGTCCAGCTGATACAAGGCATTAAATGGGGCCTCCTGTCCAATTTCCCGCCCCCCAATCTTCGTCACCCAGCGCTTGTGTTTCCCTGTGGCCTGTGGGCCCACACTACACCATGGGCGCCACGGTGGCGAGATGTTAACTACCTCGCCTGGTATGCAGAAGGATGTGAGTTCAATATGGACCCTGACGCCTGCTGTGTATTTGGAGTTTTTTTTATGTTCTACCCGTGGTCACGTGGATATTTCTCTGGGTCCTCCGGGTTTTCACTCCACTTTTAGAAACACGCGTTTCGAGTATTTGTGGCCTGGTTGCTTCTGAAAAAGAGCTATATAGCTCAGTGGACCTTACCGGGTAAATAAAAATAGTTTATAGTGTGCTTGTACACTAAATAGCTATGCCATCGATCGTGAGATCTCAGGCCACCTCAAGTCTCTGTGTCACAACTCCTCTCCAACCGGATTTTAAGTTATCATGGAATATTTTAGGGGGGCCTTCGATCCACAGTCTTCCAGATTGTGGGGGTGTAGTGGATAAAACGTTTCCAGATATCAGGCCCGGACAACTACGGCTGAAATTAAAGCCCTGCTGCACCCGACCGATACACATTCGTCCCAACTACCTACACCCACACGCCTCCACCACCATGCCTTCGTAATGTTTGTACACCACATTTCCCCCACCACCACCGCCACCGCCGCCGGCACCACCGCCGCCACCACCACCACCGCTGCCATCAGCCACCAGCAGTACTCCGGCGGGGCCGAGCCGCGTGGGTACGCAGCACCCAGGCGGCGGCGCAGAGGCACGCCCGCCCAGCGAGCTGAGCAGCGTCTGGATGACGGCGTGGTTGGTGGAGGGGACGTGCGCCGGCAGCGGCAGGTGGCAGGGCCCCTCGCAGCGCCGTGCCTCGTAGTGCAGCGGCGCAATGATCCAGCCGTCCCAGCCCAGGGCGCGGAAGTCGACGCGCAGGGGACGGCGTGAGCACCGGCTGGAGCCAGCGGCGCCACCGGCGCGGCTCCTCGCCCCGGCTCTCGCCAAATTCGCCGTGGGTTTCTTCCGCCGAGCGGCGGGAGAGGGAGGCCCCGCGGGGCGCCTGCTGCCGGTCTTTCGCTTCGAGCGGCCGAGGTCTCTCGACGACGGGCTTTGGTTGACAATGGAGAACGCCGGGAGAGAGGTCGATGGTGCGGAGTTGTGGGAGAAGGTGGAGGGCGTGGAGGATTTGGCGAACTCGGAGAAGATGTTGCCGCGTCGCTCGGCCCGGCTGTAGACGACGAGGAGCGCCTTCTCGACGGCGCCGCGCCTGGCGCGGCTCAGTCCGATCTCGGAGGGAAGCAGAGAGGCACCACCGTCCACGTGGCTGGAGGCCGTGAGCTCCAGGCAGAGCAGGCGCGCGGCGGGGGCAGGTCCTCCTCCTGAGAGCGATCGTCGTGTTCACAGAGACACAATAGCGAGAATAATTGCAACGATAATTTGATTGTAGACGTCGTACGTATACAAGGGCATTGCAAGAGTTCGAGAGTGAAACACAAGAGGCGGGTCAGATGGAGCAGCAGTGGCGCGACACGCCGTTCACAAACCACGCCAAATTGTTCAGCAGAAGCTTTGACGATGAGCTGTGCATTGCCACCAGCACCACCAATATCTCCATTGCCGTAACGTCCATCACCGCCTCCACTACCCCATCAGTTTCGTCGACAAAACTACCAACGCCTCTGAGTCAACAGCTCTAATACCCTCATTAATATCTTCAACACACTACCTGCATCATAATCACAGCATCACCATCCACCAACTCCAACCACCACGTCCACTAATTAAACCATAAATATATTTTTTATTTTATCAGGTAAGGCCCACTGAGCTACATATCTCTTTTTCAGAAGCGACCTGGCCACAAATGATAGCTCAACGAAGTGGCTTATCAGGTGGAAATATATAGCAGCCAAATGCTCAACGCACGTTTCTAAATGTGGAGGGGGAAAACCGGAGGGCCCGGATAAAAATCCACACGACCACGGAGAGAGAGAGCGAGACATGCAAACTCCAAATATACACATGCGTCAGGGTGGGGATCGAACCCACGACCTCCATGTATACCAGGCGAAGTCGTTGACATCTCGCCACCGTGGGGCCATCACCACCGCCGCCCCATACCACCACCCAATACCACCGCCATCACCTCCTCTTTCAGCAGCAACAGCAGATCCCATCGCTCCGAGGACATCAAACACCTCCCACCGCGGAGTGCCCAGTCCAGCCGCCGCCGCTGTCATAAGCTCCACCACCCTGGTGGCGGTGAGCGGGCGACTCGATCCGCACGGCCTCAGCTGCAGCACGGCTCGGCGGGACACTCGCGGGCGCCGGGAGGAGGAGGCCGACGGTGCCGGGCGCTTGCGGAGCACCCTGAGCTGAGCGGCCAGAATTGTGTCGCCCCGCGGCAGGGCGGAGACGTTGAAGAGGAGCTGCTGCCTCGCTGGGGAGTCCGGCGAGTCTGGCGAGAGCGGACAGAGAGGTCGTCCACATTTGAATTCTTCACCGGTCGGTTTAATTTTTTCGAGCGCACGTGTTGTGGTTGGTTTTGGTTTGGTTCAACGCAGTAGCAGCAGCAACAACAACAACCGCCGTCGCACATTAAGTGGCGGTGATGTGACCACGGCACTTCAGAATCATATGTATTTAGAATGGAGGAATCAGATGAGCTGTGAAGCTCTTTTTCACAGATGCCACACTGGGTGCACATTCAGGCCACGTGAAGTGTCGAATGCTCGCTGCAGACAAGGAGAGAACAGGGGGGCAGATCGCTCCCTCCCCCATCCCACCCGCAGGTGTTACGGGGTGACTGACTGACTGGCAGATGCACAGGATTCATTGGGTGTTTCCACAACGCACCTGTACCCAGATCCACGAAACCGGACACTGTGTTGCAATTGACAGCCACGTTGCTGCAGCTGCTGCTGCTGCTGCTGCAGCTGCTGTTGATGTTGCTGTTGCTCGTTCCGGCAACTGTCGGCGAGTTGAGCAGCTCCAGCATGAAGCGGTGCGGGGTGACGGTGCCACGGGACCAGCAGTGGCACAGAGAGGAGAACAGCAGCAGCGGTGGCAGCAGAAGCAGAAGCAGCAGCCTCCGCACACAGCAAGGGGACATGGTCTCCCTGCTGATTGATGCTGGCTATGTAGGCGTGTGTGCGTGTGCTCTAAGTTTGTGTGTGCGTGTGTACGCGGTGTGCGGTTGGTGCTGTATGTCTATCAAAGGCTATATGGGGGGGGTCGTTGTCTTTGTTATGTTTGGTGTGTGGTAGGTGCTGTATGTGTGGCGGTGCTGGATATGCGTTTTGTTGGTGCTCGGTGTAATTTAATGTGTGTGCGTGGTTTTGGATTTAGTTGGGGTTGGGTTTGTGTGTATGTATGGTCGGTTTTCTGCTTGTGCCGGGTGTGCAGGTGTGTGTGGTTGGGGTTTGTTGCGTGAATGATTATGTATGCATGATGGGTGTAAAGTTGGTTCTTGCTGTGTTATAATGTATGTGTGTGCTGGGTAAGTGTGCTGTGTGTGTATGCTCTTTGGTTTATAGATTGATGTTGTGCCCTGTGGGATTGATACCATGTGTGTGTGTGTGATGGATGGGTGCTGTGGGTGTGTCTGCGTGTGCTGGGTGTGTGGGTTGGTGCTGGGGATGTGTGTGGTTGGTGCTGCACGCGTGAGTGATGCTCCTGTGTGGTCAGATTGCCGTGTCTCTCTTTAGTTTCTTTACACCCGTGGCGGTGCTTTCTCAGTCCATTCGTCTGTTGTACTCGCACTGACCGACTGTAGCTTCAGCTGAGCGCATCACCTGCTCACCCTGAATTATAATCAACGTCAACAATAATACAGGAATGACAAACCATGCCTTAGTAAAACATAAAAACATCGAATTTCAAAACATCACAAAAATACAATATAGACCATCACTTTGTCAATCGTATTATATTCATACATTACATTCATATTAATTAAATTCAGAGCTTAATTTTAGCTCCAGCTCGCTGAGGCTGAGCTCAAGGAAAATATTATTTCTGGCTGTTGGAAGACCCTAGAAAATATTCCATGAGAAATGAAGCCTCGATTAAAATGTTATAATACAGTACTCATTAATACACAATTTTTATAAGAACGCACAAGTTTAAAATACTGTATTAACAATACAAAATATAAATAATTTCATCAATAATCATCAGTTGAATGTAAACATAACATGACACTATTTTTTACATGAATGCAAATTTTTTTATTTGTAAATATTTATACTGCATAAAGTAAAAAACAAAACAATATAGGCTACAAACATTGTTGAAAAGTTGATCTTACTGGTATTGTCCAAAGCTGAACCAAAATCAGCTGTAGCGGTAGAAACACAAGGATGAGCCAAATAATAAACGGATCGCCAAATTTGGAATGACGAGTATCCAATCATACCTGCACACGCAGACGGCTCCTTGCCTGACTGTGCTTGGAGTCTGTCTGCTTCTGCTGAGGCCCCTTTTATTTTATACCGACCACGCGATGATGTAAAACCTGGTTCCTTTACTCCAGATGCTGACTAGAAGCCAGCCAACCATAACACACATGCACGCGCCTGCACACACACACACACTCGTGCCAGCAAGCATACAGCCCAGCTTTTAACCAGGCACTATAACAACCAACACATATACTCTTGTACTGCTGGATGAGGACCTCCCAAAACGCCCCTAAAATTGCGGTCAATTGACTATACTTCACCAAACTATATTTCTATTAGTGAAGGGGGTGAGCATAGACCTGGCAACATAGAAGCACTATACAGCAATGGATTTTACTGGTAGGAACCTCCTGGTTACACCAGCCCACAGGGGATTATTGTGTCCGTCCGTCCGTCGTGCATCCAAAAATGGGAGGGGTGGAACTGGGTGGAGAGGGGAGGGTGGGGTGGGGCTGGGTGGGGAGGGCGGGGCTGGGTGGGAGGGGTGGGGCTGGGTGGGGAGGGGTTGGTCACCCCGTGGTGCCCTTATAAAACTCAACGTTTAACCTACTCACGCCGGCTTGTGCCCGCCCTCACAGTCGGGCATATTTGCGGAATACACCACGTGGTGCCGCCGTTGACCCTGGCCATTGACCGAGCAACCCAACGTTCCTACTACCAGCTCCCTCCACAGGAATGTGTTGCTGAACTGCTCTATGCGGCCCTATGACAACCTGTTCGCGAATGGTGGTCACTGATCCAAGCACGATCCAGGCTCAAAGCTTCCGAGTTGTGGAGCGGTCGGGCGCAATGCAGGTTCTATATGGCCATAGACTAATACACGGTACTATTCATATAAATAAGACAAACATCTCTCTATAGCCTTTATATACCGTTGGGATAAGTACTTTTAGCGAGTACCTATTAAGGCCGGCAAGGCACACGAGGGGGAGGGTGGCCAACATCACGCCCGACCGCATTTGTCTTCCCAGTCTCGATATTTACACACCTCACCAGGTACTCATTTGAGCCTGTGCCGATCTAGGGGAGGTCCAGGACCTGTTCAGATATTCGTCATTGGCGTTGGCCGTGAGCAGGAATTGAGCTGGGGTCGTGGCGTTCGTAGCGCAGCTCACTAACCGCTACACTATCGTTCCCCACACTACCACAAAAGACAAAAATCCCCCATATAGCCTTAACAGACTATAGGGGCAAGTGCTGTTAGTGAGCACCTATGAAGGCCGGAACGGTACACGAGGGGGTGGGTGGCCAGCACCACACCCGACCGCCTTAGTCTCCCCAGTGGCAATGTTTTTATCCACCGTACCATGTACTCATTTGAGGCTGAGTCGACCTAGGGGAGGCCCAGGATCGGTTCAGATATTCGTCACTGGTGAGCGGGAATAGAACCCGGGTCGCCAGGTTCATAGCGCTGCGCGCTAACCGCTACACTACCGCTAACCGCTACACTACCGCTCCCCACTCCACTATTACACACACACTACCACACACACACTACTACTACCACACACTCACGTGCACGGATCAAAACGCCACTTGAGCTTGACGAGGCGCACTTTTTTATTCACTGCCACTTTTTATGAAGTCAACATCTGCGCCCGTGTGGCAGCACCATGGCCGGGAGGAGACCGCGAGTACACTCGTCAACACGTAGACTCAAACCCAGCGCAAATGTTCGTGGCAGCCGTCAATCATCTCCACACGTGCACAGCCCCTAGTTGACATTCCATTAAAGGATGAGGGCATCTCCACCTTTTGAATGGTGAGTACATGTACAAATCGTCCATGGGTTGTTTTATATTTTTTTAAATGCCGCAATTCGGGGGTCACAATTCCATTGAAAGTTTTATTATTTTTGTGTCTTGTCTATACTGGCTGTCTTGTATGTTCTGTCTCATCCTTTCCTTTGGCCTAGAGGTGACATTTGCGATTTCGCGGAAATGCAGCAAAGGTTGTGCACACCTTTTTGGGAACGCATCTACCGCATACAGCGAGGGAAAACCTCTATATATTACAGCCCTTTGTCAGGGCACAGCTGCATAAAGGCCTCCTCACGCCGTAGTGGGTCATGTGGGTTGTTGGACCATACTTCACTACGCTGCTCAGTGTGAAGTTGATTGTGGGGAAGCATAGCCGTTGAAGCTTAGGAGCACAATTACAGCCTGTCGATGGAATTTGAAACACAACCGTTTGCACCTCGGATTAGCACGGTTGGCTTGGTACGATGCGAAAGGAGTTCAACATACATACGTATAGCCCCGCAGCAACATATAACAATCTGTTCTATGCATGATGGTGGTCAGCCATCCAAGCACGATCCATCCCCAAATCCAACTTAGCTTCCGAAATCTGTTGGCCACAGGCTGGAACTCCAGCATCCATCATCTATTTAGTGATGGTAGCATCCCCACATCTTCATCCAACGTCACTCCAGCATAGCCCTCAACGCGCTCACCAACCTCGACATCAGCATACAACAAACCTCGCTTATCACCTTGCCATGTGAACACAGGAAGAAGACCCCCGTGATTTGTATGGGAGTACCGACACCACTACTTCAACAAATATCATGAATATACAGTGGGTACGCTTTCATAGTCATGCCAAAATTTGAACATTACTGGAAAATTCCTCAATTTTGATTATGCATATAGAAGCAGTCATTTGCCTCCCTACTGGCAGCAGACCAATGCGCGTTTTCAGGCTCAGGTGCCGACTTGCCGTGTGCCGCACAGGGACAGCTGACACTGGGGATCAGATAAAAAGTCACCGCACGCTCTACTGGTAGCAGTGTAATGTTTAGTTTGCAGGCTCAGGTGCCGAGCCACCTTGTGCCTCACAGGGACAGCTGCCACTGAGGGTGCCCTTCCATATGTGTAGTGACATAGTGCTGACTGTTGGACAGCAGCAGCAACTACAGGTGGGCCCTTAGCGCACACACTGCTGAGCATATACGTGGGTGTGCCGGCAGAGCGGAGGAACTGGGGCAAGGGTCATGATAGACCTCGTGTGGAAGCCCCTGGAACCCTCTAGAGGGTTCGAGAAGGGAGGCGCGGCGAGGGCGGAGCCAAGCCGTGCCGAGGGGAATAAAAGCAGCGGAGAGCGAGAGCTCTGGGCTGCCGGTTCTGGGATTGGACTCGTCGTCGTTGTCGCCCCCGTCGCTGCCGCCTTCGCCCGATCATTGCGCGGCCGGACAGTGGTTGGCTTTCCCGGTCGACGCCGTCGGTGCAACGCGGACAGGGTCGTGTTTGGGATGGGGCGCGCGCCAGCGGGGTCGTGCGTAGGAGGGGGCCCGAGTGGTGGAGTGAGCTCGGCAACAACAACGAGTAAAGAGGGCAGAGCGGTGCCTCCTGCGACCACCTCGTCTCCGGCTGACTGTGTGTGCGTCGCACACCACCCGCACGCACGGACGACACTACATATGTATAGAGATGAGACATGATGAAGTGGTCTGAGGCGCCCCGACGTATAGGGTGCGATCTAGCTCCATCTCTAAAACAAATTAATTGTTATTATGGTATCACGATATTGCTATCATCAGGACGACGGAGACGTCAGCAGAGGGCAGTGCAGGAAAACCACATTTTATAGAATTTACATTCAAAAACACCGCCCAGCCTTTACTAAACCATACTGACCAGCGTGGTGAAGTATGGTCAAACAACCCCCACGACTTATACGGTGTGGGGAGGCCCTCATGCAGCAGTGGATTGACAAAAGCGATACATACAAGTTGAGTAGTGTACATACGCCTGTATACACGTCTAGCCAATCTCTACTGCCACCTATGGTGGCGTGTCGGTCATGGCAATGTCCTGTGGAGATTGGCCTATCATTTATGTGCGATTAAGATGGGCCGTTTCCCGAAACGTCGCCTATTAAATAATGTTTTTAATTTAAGCCTTAAATTGTAAGGCCACACACGGTGTTGTTATGTACGACTGTGTTGAGTTTTTTTAACAAGTAGGAGGATTTCGCGACCAATATCATCCATAATACAGGGTTTTTTTGGGGTTAGATCGCGTAAATATATAAATGTGTCGTTAAACCCGCAACCACCCGACACAGCCACTGAGTAAGGTTTGTCACGTAAACAGAACGTGGCCAATTCGTCACTAGTAAAGCACACCGGTGTGTTGGAGAGCAAAGCCACAAAATTTACAATCTGTATTCTTGGGTCTTTCGGTAAAGTCACGTAGATAGGTTCAGAGAAAATAACAAAAAAAATCACCAAAAAATAACAGAAAAAAAAATAACAGAACATATCTACGTGACTTTACCGAAAGACCCAAGAATATGAATTCCTTGCAGTCACGAAAGCTTTAAGTCAAGATTTACAATCTGATGACGACGTTTCGCCAGTAATTACAACTAGCTTCATCAGGCGACAGCCAGACTGAGTTTTTGTTGTTGTTGTTGTTGTCAGCCGTGTCCACGTGTCTCTGCTCAAAATGGAACGTTGAGTGCGGCGCTGAGCCGATGGTGGAGTTGCCACAGAGTATTCCTGTGTACGTTAAACTTCTTTCGCACCGCACGTAGCCAACCGCGCTAATCGGAGGTGCCGGGGAAGGACACCAACCTAAACGCAAAAATTGAGTTCTAAAGATATGGGTTCCAATCGAGATTTAAAAAAGTGCATTGCTCCAGTGGACTTCTTAATATCGGAAGAGCGTTCCAGACGGCCGCAGCAGCAGCAGCGCATCGGAAAGCGCCGCGCGATGCGGTGGTCGCCTTTGTTCGATGGCCAACCAATACAAACATACTGTACAATGTATTTGCATAGCCGTCAACCCATACGGTTTACCCCGTATTCTTGTACAGGGAAATTTAGTTTTCAGGTCCACACGGCGTACAGCCGTTTCAATGCGGGCAAAAAACATGTTTTTGTCTATTTGTTTGTGTTTCTCCCCTTGTGATGGGACTTTGTAGGATGGACGTTGAGATTTATAAGGGGCACGGGGTGACCAATAAGGTCGGAATTGGTCT